GGCTTTGTTGCGAACCTCCGATACCGACGGGTGTTCGGAATAAGTTCGTATCTTGTGGGTAAAGTGTACCCCTCTGCAGAGGTTAACTAACTGTTCGAACAGCCGTGCCCACGGTCATGGGCGGATGTGAGGTGGTTCCCGTTGCGTAGATTTGTTTGCCTGTGCTTTGTGAAAAGTTGTTGTGGTGTGGGAATCGTAACCAGAATCAGCCTATGTGGCAGATGGATGACCTGAGTGGTCAGAAACGAATCTGTGTGATTCGGGATGTCTGCGGGCATCATAGACTAGGCTTCCCGAGTGGAAGCGGATTGTTGTGCTGCTGGGCAGCTGGACTCTGGGAGTCCGAGAAAATGAATAAGGCTCTGGGAGCCGCTTAATTAAGTGAAATGGCTCTGGGAGCCGAGAAGTAATGATCTGACCCGGGAGGTCGGTACATTGCTAAATGAGCTGTTGAAAAGCATCTCTTAAAGTCGAATCGAGACGCAAGTCTCTTTTCGCCCAAACATAGAAAGAAATAAATCACTTAGTGATTTCAAAATGTCTTCAAACAAAAGATTTGCAAAACAACCTTGCCTCTCTTCCAAGCTTGCATTAAACACCTAAGTTCCCGTGACTTGCTGAGTACGAAAGTACTCACCCTTGCTCTATAAATATATATATAGTTCCTCCGCCCTGAAGAGAAGATAAAGTGAAGTGAAGATTAGGGTTTCGTCCTGGTTCCCAGCCGTCGCCTGTGGTGTTGGGTGTTAGTCCGTTGGTTCCGCTGCTGCTGCTGTTGTTGGTGTTTCCTCGTCTGTGTCGTCGGTTGTATTCTCGGGCTGTCTGAGCTGCAACCTAAGTTAAGGTAAATAAGTCCTCTATTTATATTAAGGATTGCTATGATTCATATTTGTCACCGTGGGTACCAGCACTATGTCCTGGGACTGGTACCGAGATCGCGGTTTCGTAGGAAGCGGTTCGCGCCGTTTTTCCTACGACACGCTCCTATCAGGTGCCGTTGTACGGCGGTATCAGATTGGGGTGTGACAAATATTTCCGAGATGTTAATAAGCAAGACGTGCTTCTATTCATCGATAATATCTTTCGTTTTGTTCAAGCAGGATCGGAGGTATCTGCCTTATTAGGGAGAATGCCCTCTGCAGTGGGTTATCAACCTACTCTTAGTACAGAAATGGGTTCTTTGCAAGAAAGAATTACTTCTACTAAAAAGGGATCTATAACTTCGATCCAAGCGGTTTATGTACCTGCGGACGATTTGACTGAACCTGCTCCTGCTACAACATTTGCACATTTGGATGCTACTACCGTACTTTCTAGAGGATTAGCTTCCAAAGGGATTTATCCTGCAGTAGATCCTTTAGATTCAACCTCAACTATGTTACAACCTCGGATCGTTGGCAACGAACATTCTGAAACTGCGCAAAGAGTTAAGCAAACTTTACAACGTTACAAAGAACTTCAGGACATTATCGCAATTCTTGGGTTGGATGAATTATCGGAGGAGGATCGTTTAACTGTAGCAAGAGCACGAAAAATTGAGCGCTTCTTATCACAACCATTTTTGTGGCAGAAGTTTTTACCGGTTCTCCGGGAAAGTATGTTGGTCTTGCAGAAACTATTAGGGGATTTCAACTAATCCTTTCCGGAGAATTAGACGGCCTACCCGAACAGGCTTTTTATTTGGTGGGTAACATCGATGAAGCTAATACGAAAGCTATAAACTTAGAAGAGGAGAACAAATTGAAGAAATGAAATTAAATCTTTATGTACTGACTCCTAAGCGAATTATTTGGGATTGTGAAGTGAAAGAAATCATTTTATCTACTAATAGTGGCCAAATTGGCGTATTACCAAACCACGCCCCCATTAACACAGCTGTAGATATGGGTCCCTTGAGAATACGCCTCCTCAACGATCAATGGTTAACGGCGGTTCTGTGGAGCGGTTTTGCCAGAATAGTTAATAATGAGATCATCATTTTAGGAAATGATGCGGAACTGGGTAGTGACATTGATCCGGAAGAAGCTCAACAGGCACTTGAAATAGCCGAAGCTAACGTGAGTAGAGCTGAGGGTACGAAAGAATTGGTTGAAGCGAAGGTAGCTCTCAGACGAGCTAGGATACGAGTCGAGGCTGTTAATTGGATTCCCCCATCTAATTGAAGACAACCCAATGGTTTAGTTGATACAAAGAAAAAGGGAAGAGGGGTAGAAAAAATTATTAGATAGCGAAGTAAAGTAGGGCCAATGCTATCTAGTAATTTTTCTACCTACCTACCTACTATTGGATTTGAACCAATGACTCCCGCCGTATGAAAGCAATACTCTGACCACTGAGTTAAGTAGGCAATTTATCACCACAAAGGAAGACCCTTTACTTCGATCGATTATAGATCGAATCCTTTTTATAAGCAAATACCGCTTCGTTATTGGTATGTTATTATAGTATAAACAGATCAAAGGATATCCTCTACTATTAGAGAATATTCATCTTGCCAAGAAATTCTCTATATATTAAGATATCTCTGACAAGGGCTATAGCTCAGTTCGGTAGAGCAACTACACGTGCGCCAATGCTTTTCAAGGGATATGTGAGGGAACAGTGTCCGAATTCCCTGCAGATGGATTCGGATCCTCTGCAATACCGCAGAGAGGTACTTTAAAATGTTAGTTAGCTTAAATATCGATTTATAGGAAATCGATGCCAAGGGCTAAATACTTCAAACTTTCAGCCAACTGTTTTACCATTAAGCTCTGTATACAGATTAATCTCAAGGTGGGCAAATAGTTTTTGGACAGATGATGTTTCTGCTCGCCTTTGTGCATTACATTTCTGAATAATCTGAACTTCCACTCGAGATTGCATTGTGCGTGCACTGAGCCATCTATCCATGCTTGGACCTGTACTGATAGGAAAAGCTTCTCTCTCTCTCTCTCTCTCTCTCTCTCTCTCTCTCTTTTTGTGAACAAGTGCAATCTTACAATTAGTTTTGATTTCTGAATTAACTTTTATCTCCTCGCATTACTGCCATAGAAAGAGCATTCAAAAGAAATAGATTGGCCTGATGCTGTGCTGCTTGATTAATTTCAACCATAGAAACAGAAATACCACATTGGCTTATTTCTTCTCCTGTTTCTCAAAAATCTTAATATTGCAGAAAAGTATTGCAACTATCATTTTGAATAGAGAGGTGATTTTGCAACCCTAAACCCTTTATTTGGCTAGTATATAGCTTTAAAATATAAATGATTTACTCATCAGGTAAAGTTGCTAATTTATAAATTTACTCAATATATATATATTGTGTCCCACCTTCTCCGCCGTCTCCGCCGCGGCCTCCTCCTCGGCCTTCCCCGCCGTCCCCGCCGCGGCCACCGCGGCCGCCGTCGCCGCCGCCGAAGCCGCCGCTCCCGCCGCGGCCACCGCGACCACCGCGGCCACCTTTCCTGCCGCGGCCGCCGACCCCGCCGCAACCACCGTCCCCGCCGCGGCCACCGATACCGCCGGGGCCGCCGTCCCCTCCGGGGCCGCCCTTGCCGCCGACACCGCCGGGGCCGGCGTTGCCGCCTGCGCCGCCTTTACCGCCGCGTGGTATGCGTACGCCGTCGATGTACGCTTCTTCACCGACGTACACTACTTCGCCGCCGCCGTACCAGCCGACGCCGACGCAGCCTTGTCCGCGGGCGCCGCCGCCACCACGGCGGCCACGGCGGCCGTGTCGGACGCCGAGGCGGCCGCCAGCGCCTCCACGGCCGCCGCGGCCTCCACGGCCACCACGGCCGCGCCCTCCCGGTTGGCCAGGTTCGCCGGGTTGGCCGGGCTCGCCGGGTTGGTCGTCCACCGGAAACTCTCCTCCGAAGTTGGCGGCCATGGCTGCGTTTGATGGATCGGCCATGGCCATGGATGAGATAGGTATCGTATTTATGGGATTTTCTTGTTTTTGTAATCAAGTACTCCTCCAATCTTTCCTTTCCTTTAGTGATAATTGATATGATGATATGTTTCCAATCTTAATTTTCTTTCCAAATTAAGGCTGATGCTCCATCTTCGCTACTTATATGATTCATCGTAAAATACGCCTTCGAACTTGGTTTACGCATTTCTAGCCGATCTCTGAAGAACATATGCTCTCATTTTTAACTTTCAAGTTTCAATTCTATACTTGAATCATGTGTATATCCCGTGCATGTTTTATATAAAAGTAAGCAGTGCAAAAATCTTCTTCCAGAACCAGAATGAACATGGTGACGCGCACCACGGTTCAGGCTGGAGCATATGTATAACATGCCTTTTCTTTACCTTTAGTGGCTGTATTTTTCTCCTACTATATTTAATGAAAAAACACAATCTCGTGCTGGCTCTATTAAAAAAATAATTCCTGTAAGAAAAAGGCCATGTTTCTTTGTCGCTTTTAATGCGTGTCACCATGTTCATTCTCCTTTTTTCGAACATGCAAAAACTTTGCAAGTTGATATATACTAGTAGAACAAAAGACTTCTACAACCTCGACCTGCTGACATGGTCATGGGGGAGGAAGAGAAAAAATAACACTGTGCCTGAATGTTCATTCTGGTTAAGAAAGAAGATTTTTACAAAACACATTACATTACAGTATGACCGAGGTCGCCGAGCCGGCCGCCGCTCGCTCGTGCTCGGAGGAGAGGAAGACATAGGAAAGGAGAGGAAGAGAGGAGGTGAAAATAATATGATGAGAAGAGGTGAGGGAGAGAGGTAGAGGAGATAAGAATGATGAATTGAGAAAATTTGAAGTATTGAGAGGGAAAAGAGAGAGGAGGTGAGAATTTGTGAAGAGGGGGTATTTTCGCATGAAGAACACTTAAGGTCTCAGCATGTGAAAATGCCCCCCTTAGAGGCCCAGATGTGAGCCGTACGTGAAAATGGAGGTCAATTTTTATAAGCTCGATCAGTTACGGTTTGCTTGTAACCTATAAGGGTTCTCGTACAGAAAAATCATTTATATAGAACTGGTAGCAAATCAGTAACATATAGGAGTGCCAAAATATACAAATTAATTAACATGTTTGACATCAATTGCAAAAGGAAATATAATAGAGCACAAATAACAAAGAGAGATTCCACATGAGATGGAAATTAAACCGAACAAGACATGGCCGGGAAAGCAATGTCGTCCAAACCACAGGGCACACGTAGACGTAAGCATCCGAGTACACCGCATTAATTACTTGGTGTTCGCGCCAATGCGCGCAATGCAAGCGAGCTCCGCTATGCCGGCGCCGCCGGCTGGTCGATTTCGCCGTCGTGGTCCGGGCGGGCGATGCCGGTGTGCGTGGCGAGCACCCAGAGCAGCGTCACGAGTTCGCTGCCCTGCGCCAGCGCCGCCTCGTGCCCCCTGGCGTGCTCCTCCGCGCGCGACGGCGACACGTACACGACGAGCTCAACCCACACGTCGGCCAGCATCTCCCACACCGCGCCGTCGCCGGCTTCGTCGTCCTCCACCAGCTGCTTCCCCAGCACGGCGCCCCTCTCGAGCACCGTCATGTCGGCGGCGGCGGAGGCGTCCACCCGGAGCGCACGGATCGTCTCGTGCCGGCTCCGCTCCGACGAGAGGTAGTATCCCCGTGCGCCGCCGAGCGCCGCCTTGATGCCCTTCTTCAGGTCCTTGTAGATGCGCTCCGTGCCTTCCCGGTCGTCCGGCAGCAGCTCCGGCCGGAAGGCGACGAGGTAGGCGCAGTATCTGGACAGCCTCGCCGCCGTCCTCCGGCTCCGGCTGGCACTTGTCGGAAGCTGCTGCTGCTGCTTCGTCTCCAGGAGGCTGGTGGCGATGTGCCAGGTGAGGATCACCTCCGCGACGGCTCCGCTCTGGCACGCCCACGAGAGCCGCGAGAACCGCCGGTGCCTACCGCCCATCGACGTCAGCACGGCGCCGCCGTTGCTGAGAGGATCGCCGCCGCGGAAGCGTTCTAGGATGGCGAGCTTCGCATGCCTGGGCAGCGTGGCGGTGGGCAACCTCGGCGACAGGCAGCATGTGCTCAGGACGGTGAACTGCTTGATGGTGATGAGGCTAGGGTAGTGGCTGAGGTTTCGGCGGAGCCAGAGGATGCAGCGGACGGAGCCACGGAAGGTGGGGCTCTCGCGGCGGCGGGGCTTGGCGGAGAAGGTGCAGAGCAGAGAGACGATGAACCAGTTGGAGAGGAGGAAGACGACGAACTCCCACACCTCCTCGTAGACGACGACGATGAAGAGGAGGTAGCAGATGGAGACGTCGACGATGGAGAAGAACACCAGCGGAGACCTGACGACGTTTTTCCAGAGGCATTTCGTCAGCGAGAGTATGCCGGATGAGACGGCATAGTTGTCGTTGGTTAGGCTCTTGAAGGCGTACAAGACGTTGCCATTGCCGCAGAGGACGATGGTCATGACGCAGAGGCCGAACACGACGACGGGGAAGCAGAGGTAGTTGACGACGAAGAAGTAGGGGCTCGCGAGCACCACGGGGAGGACGGAGTGGTAGTACTCGGCCAGGAAGTTCACCTCGTCGTTGAGCACCTGGAACAGCGCCACCTCCGCCGGGACGTCGCCGGTGGCCTGAGCATCCTTGCACATGCCGTCCAAGATGAGGTCCCGGCACTCGTCGGTCTCCTTCATGGTCGCCGGCGGCAGGTTCTCGAACCGGCGGCGCAGAAGCTTGAAGAGAGCGAAGGAGAGGCAGAGCCTCTTGAGCCTTGGGTGTTGTTTGGTCTGCCAGATTTTCCCGACGGTGACGACGGCGGCGGCGAGGCCGAGGTCGAGCTCGTAGCCGTGTGGTCCGGCCTTGAGCACCATGTTCTCTTCCCCCATCACGGCGAAGTTGCACCGCTCCATCCTGCTGCCGTCGGCGGCGACATGCTCATCCACCTCGAGCAGCTTTGGCAGCTGCGCCATGTAGGAGGAGATGAGGCGGGCGTTCTTGCCATGGGCGAAGGAGCGCTTCCCGATCTCGGTGATGGCGACGCGCTGCACCAGCTTGGCCGCGCAGAGCACCCAGAGGACGCCGAACAGCGCCTTCTTGCCGGCGGCCTGGAGGTTGAAGAAGACGAGGTTGCCCAGCCAGGCGACGCTGGTGGCGTGACTGATGAGGCTGGAGTAGACGTGCATGCCGGTGGTGATGAGGATGGCCTCCACCTTCTTGCGGAGGAGCTCGACGAGGAGCATCCATGTGAGGATGACACGCGCCAGCAGCGAGAGGTCATCGGAGTGGGCGTCTCTGGTGGTGGTAGTGGAGTCGCCGACTCCGAGCGGCGCTTGCTTGGCCTCGGAGAAGAGGTAGGACATGACGGGGAGGAAGAGGTTGAGCGCGCTGGAGAGGAAGATGCGGACGGTGGGGTTGAGCACGGCGCTGACGTCGGAGACGCCGCTGAAGAGGTTGAGGTTGAAGAAGACGGCGGCGAGGATGAACATGACGACGGAGGTGGACACCACGGAGGACTCGTTGCTCTTGTCGGCGTAGGAAGCCGTCATGTTGTGGACGAATGAAATCATGGTTTCCGAACACGACTGCAGCAAATCTGAGGTCACGGACGTCATCGCTCGATCGATCTTGCCACCTGCCTACCTATGAGTAAATTGGTCGCTAGCTAGCTATATATTTGCGCCAATGGACCCATGATCTCAAGCTTACGAGAGGAAGACGAGAATATACTTTGTAATGAGGGACAATAATAAACACGTTCTATATTAAAAAAAAGTATAAACGCGGATAATTGTGTCCCATATGCATGTCACGCTACAAATATATGTAAGAGGCTACTTCCTCCGTTTCACAATGTAAGTCATTCTATTATTTTCTACATTTATATTGATGTTAATGAATGTAAGAAATGTTAGAATGACTTACATTGTGAAACTGAGGGAGTAATATATATATTTCTTACTTTTATTTGTCCGATCTGTATATATCGATCAATTTTGACTTTACATGTGTATGAAACAGCGGAACAAAACAATCAATCTTGCATATTTCCTGAAAATTTACGATTATTAGCACCAACATAACAAGCGAGCTGAGGGCATATACCTTACGGTCTTATTACTAAAATCCAATTCATAAAGTCCAATGTATACTTCTCTATTAATTGGGCATTTCCCAATGAACTCCCTTGTTAACCAGAAAGAGTTGGCCGTCAATCAGATAGATCATACGGTTGTAACCATATACTCCTTCCGTTTCTAAATATTTGACGCCGTTGACTTTTTTAAATATGTTTGACTGTTCGTCTTATTCAAAAAATTTAAGTAATTATTAATTCTTTTTCTATCATTTGATTTATTGTTAAATATACTTTTATGTATACATATAGTTTTACATATTTCACAGAAGTTTTTGAATAAGACGAACGTTCAAACATATTTAAAAAAAGTCAACGGCGTCAAATATTTAGAAGTCAACACAAACATTTGTAAGCCACATTAAAAACTCATGTAAGTCCATCTACTTACGAGTTTTGGGCTTATGACACCTTCAAATTAATTCATATATATTAATTATGAATTTATAAATCAATAATCATAAAAAGTATGTAACTTAAACTCTACAACTCAGTCATTATTAATTCTGATTTTTATAGAACTAGGAAGATAGCCCATAAAAATGTGTGGGCATGCATTGGAAAACTTTCTTCTTCATGGACATTTTTGAGATAACTCTTTCTAAGCTATTTGTTATCTTTATAGTATATAATATGTACTTCATCCCTATAAGCAATTTTTTATAATCTACGTCATCATCTAAAATGAAAGTAGATTTAATTTGTTTAGAAATTATGTCCCATGGATTAAGTTTAAATCAAAAGTAATGTGTTTTTCCCTTTTTACTTGAATGTGTAGATGTTCTCTTTTCTTAAAAATATCTCAAAAAACTATTATTTCTACTATATATGTTTTATTTATACGATCAAGCTAGCCCTGCTTTAATTGGTTCATATTGACGCAATTTGTTACATAGAGACGAAGGAGATATACATGTCCTATACTCCGCTTCCCTGTAAAATGTGGTATCTATAGTACTTTTTAAAGGTGAAGTCGAGTCAACATAAGTATTAAAATTTAAATTGAATCGGTAAAATTGAACTTTAAATCATCAATTTGTTGGTCTAGAGTAAGCTAATTATTTCTAACCTCAATCCCTCAAAGTAGTCAAGCTGATGCGGGTTGCGGTACAGTGGGAGGCAGGAGATAGAGGAGACTAGGAGGAGGACGTCATCAAGGTCTAGTGAGCGGGGCAGTGTGGTCGTCATCACGGCCAAAATATTTGGTTGGGTAAAATGAGGAATCAATTGTTCTAATAGGCCAACAGATAAGGGGGAGGAGGCGGCCCAAAAAGGATGATTTCTCTGCTTGATGAGTTGTTTGATGCCTTTTCTTTAATTTTTTAAATACACATATAAAATACATAGTATATATATCTATTTTTTGATAAAATTATTGGGTATTCATTTGAATACCCTTGAATTGTTGTAGGCCCACCCCTGTGATTAAGAAAGTTGGGAAGAAGAAATATGAAAGAGCCCGAGAGTCCGAGACGGCATGGGCCGGAGTGCACACATACGTATTGGAGGGGGAGGTGGAAGGGACATTTTTCCCTTTAGCTTACAAATAGTTCTAAATCTAAAGGTTAAAAATAATAGGACCACTTGTTTAAGTGAAAACTTGCGGTCAGATATTTTATCTTTTTCTAACATTTTAAACTTTTTTAATTTATTGGAGCGTCATGTGACATCTTAGTAGCGTTCTGACTTCCGAAGGACGTTTAATCGATCTTTTGGTATCTATATATAGTTAGAACCCACAATATACATATACCTACAAGTAAGTACTGTTTCAAAACATCTTAAAACTTATCGAAGCATACATGACGCATCATCTGTAATTTATTACTCCCTCCGTTTTATATTATAAGTTGTTTTAACTTTTTTTTATCAAATTTCTTTAGGTTTGACTAAATTTACAGAAAAAATTAGCAACATTGATAAAACCAAATTAGCTTTATTGACTGTAACATTGAATATATTTTCATAATATGTTTGTTTTGTGTTATAAACATTGTTATATCTCTTTATAAATTTGGTCAAACTTAAAAAGATTTGACTAGAAAAAAGTCAAAACAACTTATAATATGAAACGGATGGAGTATATTATAGAACTCTAATATGTTATACAGCTCGACATAAAAATATGTGTCAAATAATCATATACATACATACACCATTACACAATATTTCAATATACATACATACATACATACATACATACATACATACATACATACATACATACATACATACATAATTTGTATGATATTTAATACATATTTATTCATGCATTCTGCAGTAAAAGTGTGGGACATCAACTAGTATAATGCATAATATATTAGATATATACCAGCTGACTGACAAAGATCGTATCATATATTTTGTTCTTTTTGCTTTGTAGAAGTGTGTTTGCAAAGCACTAAAACCACAAAATTGATGCCATGCATGTGTGCCCTGCATCAATTCTCTTAAGAATCGTGCGCATGCTTGTGTTATACATATTGATTATTCTTCCATAATTGACGAGCGGTGTGCTAGCTTTATTTCCTGATGTCCTATACTCCTGTTGCTTTCAATCATTTTCTTTGGTGAAAGAAAGCAAATGACGCGAAGAATAAATCCGTTTGGATTGATCGAAACTTGTCTGTGCATATTATCTCTGAGCTGTGTTGCCTGCTAGCAGCGCTAGCGCACGCAAATATACTATGTTACTTGGTAATTACACGAAGACATCATTGACTTTTGTTACAACCTTTGATCATTCGTTTTATTAAAAAATTTTTGTAAATCTTAAAAATATAAATAATACTTAAATTTCATTTAGTGATACATCAAACAAAAAAAAGACATTTACTTAAATTTTTGAATAAGTTGAATGGCCAAACATGACGTAAAAAGTCAACGTTATATATTAAAGGACGGAGGGAGTATTAAAGATTACTTGAAAAATATGTTTGTGCGTCATATTAGGGGACATGAGTGATAAAAGAGAGTGTGTGATCAGTAAAAGCCGAGCAAGTCAGTAGCGTGAAAAGTGAAATTAATGGTCAGTAAAAGCTTAGAGAGGCAATACCCAGACTCGACGTGTGAATCGAACGACATACAAAGAGAAAGCTAATGATAACAAAACAAAAGACACGCAGATGACCAAGATGCGTGTATATGTGCCGATTGAAAAAAAAAATGATTTCTTTAAGTAGATAACTCCTCTTGTTTTAATGTACGATACTTTTACTTTTTATATATGGTTGATTATTTATCTTATTTAAAAATTATGTAATTATCATTTTTGTTATAAATTTACTTATAATGATGCCATATATTGAAAACCGGGAATAGTATATTAAAAACTACGGAGAGTATATGTGTGTGTATATATATGGATATGGAAGAGATGGATATTTATCCCAGCTATCGATAAATATTACCATATATGAAATATTTATATTGCTATATTTTTGTATCATGTTCATCTCACTCTGCATATATTGCCATAGTCCATTTTTTTTTCTAATTTATTAGTTTTTTCTTTTCCTATAATAATTTTTTAATTTTCCCCTTTGATGTCCTGGCCATCCAACCCTTCCATGCCAGAGGCCACAACACTATAAAAACATTTTCTTTCATGACAGTTGTGTTTTATTTTTATTGGTGAACTAAAAAACCCCGCTTATAAAAAAAATATAAGGGCTCAAAAACCTATTTTTTCAAGCGGCGTTCTTAAAACCTTGCATGTAATGTTGAAATTCCTACCAAACCAAAAGGCCCTAAAAGTTATTAATTATATGTATTTATTTTTATGAAACTTTTATAATTTATTTTTTTCACAATTTATGATTTTCATCTAAGGAAATAATAAACATAGAAATCAATTATTTTTTGTCATCAATAAATTAAAAAAGGAAAAAAAGGTGAGCGGTCGCTCTGACCAAGTGACCAACATGAGCTATCGGTGAGGCGCAGAGATCTCTCGTTTTATCGCTCTCTTTCTTCTTTTGTCTCCTAGCTCAGCTCTCCCCTCGTTCTCGATCTAGTTTTCCTCTCCACCTCAACCTCGACTTCTCGTCCCTCTCTCGATTCGACGGGAGGGGTGGCGGCGGCAAGGGGAGTCGTGGGCAGAGTTCCTTCCACAGTTGGCGGCAGTGTAGCTCGGGTAGCGGGCGGCGGATCCAGCGGCGGCTTGGGTCGCGGACGATGGATCCGGCGTCGGCTCGGGGCGTTGGGGATGGATACGATAGCGGCGGTGACCTAGGACGCAAATCCGACAGGCGCGGGCGACAAGTCCGATGGCACGGGCGCTCTTCGGTAAGGCTTCGACGGCATATCCTCATCCACGACACCAGCGAGGATAGCTCATACATGAAGCCACTCCGTCTGCCTGGCTTCGTCGACACCCTGAAGCCCAAGAGCCTCTCCGTTGAGGGCCGCCGCATCTAGGAGGCCTTGGCCCCATCAGAGCCCTCTTGCTGCCTTCTCGCTAGAGGCCTACTGAGCCCCCTCCGCCTCCTCATGAACCGGCCACCACCTACGACCTGCCACATCGGTGGGGAGATGCGTCGAGCTTCGACCGTTCACCGAAGCCATGCACTGCTGCTTGGAGCTCTTGACCGCAAGTCAAAGTTGCCCTCCATGAAATTAGGTCAGATCTCACCAATTGCTTTGTCTTATTCAATTACTTGTTGTAGCAGTCTCGTGGAATCCTTGTTGTATTTATGGGGTTAATTTCATTCGGTTTTGACTCTGAATCAAATATGCATCCAACATCCTTTCGTGTTGATTTTATTTTTCTTTTTTTGTATCAAGTGGGCATGGACGAGATACCCAAACAACGACAACGGACCACAAAAAAAAGGTTTTTAAGCGTGATTTGTTGTTTTTCGTCATTTGAATTTGGAAATTTAGAGTTCTAATTTGGGAACTTTTGAAACATGGGGTTTCATATTTGGCTTGCGGGTTTGATTGCTTGCAGTTGTGGGCCTTGCGTGGTTTACGCCAGATAAAATCACATGGTGAAGAAATCTGGCCCCACCCCTCCCCCAAATCTGGCCCCATTCCCCCCCCACCCCCACCCCCCACCCACACACACACCAGCTTATTATCATCTAGCTATGTAGATATACCAGCAAATTATGAAAATCTCTTTTTGATTAGGCCTCATTTGGGAGTCCCATACTCCCGTACGTGTACATGTCGACTAGGGTTTAATTAAGTACTCCGCACAGTCACCGCGCGGCTTAACTAACATTTGGATGAATCCCTTTCAAAGAAGCCCTTTTTAGTGTATTCTTGTTACCGGCCTCATGCAGCTCACCACGAATCTAGACGCATAGGTAGTACGGAGTGATAAATACTAGTAATACGTGCTCCCTCCATCCCTTAATATTTAACGCCGTTGACATTTTTACATCATATTTGACCATTCGTCTTATTCAAAAAATTTAAGTAAATGTTTTTTTTTTGTGGTTTGATTTATCACTAAATGAAATTTAAGCACTATTTATATTTTTAAGATTTATATAATTTTTGGTTAACGGCGTCAAATATTAAAGGACGGAGGGAGTATATACATACCGCAATCTTTGAGTAGGAAGCTATAGGGTGAAGTCATTTTGTCGCGCTACTTACTTATTGTGAAGTCCATATGTAGTAATAATTAATAATACATATATACACGTACGTACATCATATCTCACACTTCTGAGAAAACCCTCTTTTGTCCGGTTTATAACCCTTTAGTCCCGGTTATAGCAACCCTGCTGGGAAAACCCTCTTTTGTCCCGGTTTATAATCCCCTTTAGTCCCGTTTAAAGCAATCGGGAAAAAAAGGCGGGACTTAAGATGCCCCGGTTTATAACCCCTTTTAGTCCAGGTTATAGCAACCGGGACAAAGAAAGTGGGACTAAAGATGGCGATCTTTAGTCCCGATTACCTGTGATCTTTAATCCCGGTTATATAACCAGGACTAAAGATGTATAATAAGAACCAGGACAAAGTAAGCGGGACTAAAGATGACGATCTTTAGTTCCGGTTATATAACCGGACCCTGCTGGGAAAACCCTCTTTTGTATCGGTTTATAACCCTCTTTAGTCCTGGTTATAGCAACCGGGAAAAAAAAGCGGGACTAAAAATGTCCCAGTTTATAACCCCTTTAGTCCCGGTTATAGCAACCGGGATAGAGAAAACGGGACTAAAGATAGCAATCTTTAATCCCGGTTATATAACTAGGACTTAAGTGAACCGGGACAAAGAAAGCGGTACTAAAGATGGCGCCATCTTTAGTACCGGGACTATGTATAATAAGTTGCAAAAATATGTCAGGTGTGGGATTCAAACTCAAGGCCTTTCACTTCAGCCCTCACGCACGCAACCATCCCACCAACTACACTCATCTGACATAGATAGGGGTGCTTTCTTTTTAACTAGCACTGAAGGCATCTTTAGTCCCGGTTGGTGACTAAAAATCAATTTTTAATCTCGGTTCGTAATACCAATTGGGACTAAAAATGTTTTGAAAGATTTTGTGCATCTTTAGTAATGGTTACTATTCAAACCAGGACAAATGTGGTTTTATCCAACCGATCAAAGATCATTTCTCCACAAACCAGGACAAATGTGGTTTTATCCAACCGATCAAAGATCATTTCTCCACTAGTGTCACTACTCTCGTGTATGTTTCCAAATGTCACCAACACCGGTAATGTACGAACTAAAACTGAGCAAAATCCCCAAAATAACATGCGCCACAAACAAACACCGTACCCTATAACCTGTGTGAGTTCCAATATACTTGAAATATAGCATTCCCACTATAAACACATTTGAAATATAGTGTAGGAGTGCGTGCGCTTGAACACTGTTTACGTGCACACACACACCCAGGCACACTTTAATACTCTCTGCATTGTGTGGCGACATTGACTTTTCATATAACGTTTAATCATTCGTTTTATTTAAAAGAGTATAATTTATTTTGTTATGACTTGTTTTATCATAAAAGAAACTACATATAATTTTAACTTGTATATTATTATGCTAAATTTTTAGATAAGATAAATGGTTAAATGTTATTAAAAAATCAACAACATCATACATTTTAAGATGGAGGTAATATATATTAGTGCTATGTCTGTCTATGCAACAAGATCTAAAGAGGGGTTTAGTTTTTTCTATCTTTTTTTTTTCGTGGGATTACCTGTTTTTTGGTGCGTTAGGATTTTGAGGTAGCTAGTGTGGGCTTTTTATATGGGAAAATGCGATGGTTGGGAAGGAGAACGAAGAGTTGGTTTTTAAAAATATTAGAGATATGTATAACTAATTAAATCTCGTATACGCTATCCCTCCATCCCAAAGTATATATTTCTTTTGTCAATAATATTGAGAAGTAATTAACTTATCCATCATGTGATGAAACCAAGAAACATGTGTGTGTCTATATATATATAGTCAATGAGTATTAATATGATTTTTTGGATTCTGATTGTAGGATCGAATCATAAGAACTAAGCCAACCAGAGGGGAGGGTGAATGGTTGGTATACACAAAAACCCAAAACTTTTAGTGGAAATAAAAGTTACCTCAAATTCGACGGATTGCGGTCTGACCGAAGTAGTCGTAACGGTTTGACTGCCCAAAGATCGTTGGTCTGACCGAGGTAGTAATACAGGTCGAACCGCCGAGATCAAACCCTGCCTCCTGAAGCCGTCGCCGGTCTGACCGCAGGTATGCCGCCGATCGGACCACCGCGATACCGCCGGTCTGACCACCGGTGTCCCGTCAGTTGGACCGCTGCACCCGAGAAAACACGAATCGAAGAACTCTCAAAGTAGATGACAACTTTATTATTTCTCTCTGTGTTTACAAAGTGCAACAACAACACTCCTCACGAAATTCTCGACTAAACTCGAAACCCTAACTAAAACTATCAACTCAATGCTCTCAAAAGTGATACCGGGAAGCCTCACGCTCCCTCTCTATTTATACATGAGGTAGGCATCCTAAAGCCGCGAACCAAACTCATACTAGAAGTCCTAAATCACTTAGGAAACCTTCTCGTATAAGAAACAAACTTTACAAACTCCAATCATACCAAATTTGAACTCCTTCCAAATTCGACTCCACATCCCATACGCACACAATACCTCCATCGTATGCCATATGGAATCTTTACCAACCACGTGCATTGAACTCTAGCAAAAGTATCCCGCATGATATCTGACCGTCACGGACATCGCCTTATCCCCAAGTCGACTCCCGATCCATCACTGCAAATACTCTCCTGAGGCATCAAATCACCTACACATGAATCAAACAAAGAAACCATATTCCGAAACCAAACTATCTCCAACTTGACTCATTGTTAGCAAACAACAGTATTACATACATATAGTATCCATCTAGAAGCCATAAACATGAAACAATCACGGATATCCAAATAAACAACCCGAAACCGAAACCGACACAGCGTCGGCCGGTCAGACCGCCGCGCGATACACGCCGGTCTGACCGGCAACCACTGCCCGGTCTGACCGGACCCAAATCATAGCATTACCTGCATATCACCTGTAAATCCAATCATCTCCAAAACCACTTCGCCAATAATCTCCAAATATCAAAACCGTTAATCACAGATGCTAATTGTTCATCACAGAATAATAATCAAAACACGCTTTGATTTTACACTGATCAATAATTTAGTTTAGTACATAGAGAGACTACAAATATATCCATCTCATTTAGAAAAATCAGAAAATAAAATATACCTTACATTTGTTTTGATGGAGGATTTTACATGCATAATTAATTAATAGACAGAGAGAGCAGCAGATAAATAATTAAAGAGACACTAGTAGAATTGCAGGCAGCAGAGCAGCAGGTAATAGCAATCGCTAGACTGTTTCCGGCCCAGCTGCGACGCAATCGGCTGTATTATTATGATTGAATGATACGGTAGGGCGTTTGAACAAGTCGAGGCCGAGGTAGCAGGAGACGGCGATGTGGTAGGACCTGGTGCAGGCCTTCCCGATGAGGAATCGGACGGTGGCCGTCACCTGCGCGGTGATCGGGATGTCGTTGCCTCTCATCATGTTTTGGACCCAGTAGTCGCCGCTGACGAACACCCGCACCGGGATGGCCGTCGTGTTCCGCGGCGGCTGCACGAACGGCGTCCGCACCGACGAGGCGTCGTCTTCGTTGAGCAGCGTGGGCTCGCCGTCGAACGGCGTGTAATGCAGCTTCACGTCGAACCCGCGGTACTCCACGGCGGCGCGCCACCCGGGGTTGGCGGCGGCGACTGTGAGGTTCAGCTCCACACCTCCATCCAGAGGCAGGATCATGCGCGAGGCCTTGGTGACGGAGAAGTCGATCTCCCCGGGGCTCAGCAGCGCGGAGATGCCGATCACAATGACGGTCGCCGCGAGGGTTCCAACGACAGCGACGAGGATGTACTGCTTCGTGCTCCAATATGATTTGTGTGTGTTTGGTGATGATGAAGCCACCTGCAGCTTCTTCGTCGTCGTCGTCGCCGCCGCCGCCATTGCTGCCATGCCTGCTTAATTATCTAGCTACCTACGTGTACCTCCTTACTAGTTAGCTAGCTAGCTAGTGATGCGTGTGTGATCGACTTGTTTAATTAATTGAAGAAAGCTACTCTCTCCATCATATCGAAGCATTTCCAAATGGTTTAAGTAGAGATTAAGGTTTATAAAGAATATACTTTCGTGCCGATGAGGACGGATGCAAGGGTAGCTTGAGATAGAAGACAGCATAAGAAATTCAAATGAGAGATAATTGATAGGAGTACTTCTATATAGTACTTCATCTGTTTCACGATATAAATCATTCTATCATTGTCTATATTCATCTAGATATATAACATCTATATGAATGTGTGTAATGATAGAATGACTTGTAGTGTGAAACGGAGGAAGTATATATGAATGGAGCTGAATTTTTGACTGGAGGCTTCCTCTCGTTTGTGCATGTTATAAAAAACATTGTTATTATTTAAGAAAATTGGTGAAAATAAATTAATATGTAATACGTTATTTCACGAACATGCAATCTCGAAATTGTTTCTAGCTAGTTGTATAAATTGAATTTGAACACAAATACTTATGGAATAATATATGACATTTTAATCTATCTCGTTTGTTTTTCATATTGAACCAGATAGCTCGTGTGCGAATTCGAATAAAGTATTTGTTTTTCTCTAGAAAAAGAATTCGAATAAAGTAGAAATAATTAATTCTTGGCTATCTTGCATGCGCCAATTCGAATAAAGTGAGTATAAATAATTGATGACTAGCTACGTACGATCGAGCTGCATGACTGCGATATGCATGGTCGAATTCGAATAAAGTAGCTTGTATTTCTACGCTAGCTAGGTGGGTGAGCGGGAATTGGAATAATTAACTTTTAGTTAAGCTGTTTTTTTTGTTAATTAAGCTACTACGTTACTAGCTTTAACTAATTTGTATACGATCCTCGCGTCGTGAGCTAGCTAGCTGTAGCTAGGTAGACACCACACCACAGCATGCGCAACGAGAAAAAGGAGGCGGCGGAGGAGGAGGAGGAGGAGGAGAAGAAATTCCGGTGGCTGGACGTGGTGCGATACGCGGCGGCCGGGGTTGTGGCGTTGCTCGCCGTGGGGGTGCTGGTCGGGGCCATCGTGGTGGTGCTCCGGCCGGACGCGCTGGTCATGAAGGTCATCCACGGCTCCATGTTGGTAAACCTGCCGCCGCCGAGCTTGACGTTCACGTTCCAGCTGGAGGTCGACAACCCAAGCGGGCGCGACACCATGAGCTTCACCGACATGTCCGTCGCCGTCTTGGCCGTCTCCGTCTCCGGCGGCGGCGTGATCAGCATGGCTAACCTCTTCTACTTGCCCAACATCACGGACTTGCAGCCGGGGAAGATGATGCAGGTGGTGACGACGCAGTGGACGACCAACCCGGAGGCGGAGGTCGGCGACTACTTCGTGAGGAGGCTATCCCGTGGGGAAACCATGGCCGTCACCCTGCGAGTCCAGGGCATCCTCATCACCAGGTTGGACACCCTCAACGGCGACGGGCCGGTCCACACCAGCAAGGCCAACGTCACCTACACTTGCTTCAACGTTAAACTCGGCGTCGACAAGTCCTTGAACTCCACCGACGACGTTTCTTGCAATAGCAAGCAGTGGCGGATCTAGAAAAAAATAGTAGTGGGGGCTGAATAAACTACATCAGCATAAATCGAACCTTCAGTCCCCACATCCTATAGATCTATGGAAAAAAAATTTAGTGGGGGCTTAGGGGGGTCTCCACTATCCCGGGGGCGGTAGTGGGGTCTCGAGACCCCTCCGCCCCCATTGTGAATCCGCCCCTGCCAGCAAGTAGCTACGTACCTATCACTTACTGTACTTACCTACGTACGCTATATACATATACTTATATATCTGCATATAGATACATACATATGTATGTATGTATGTATGCGTGCCGCGCGTGTGTAGATATATATATACATACACACGTAAAATAAACAAAAAATAATTAATGAGCTACTCTCTAAGAATTCAATTTTGAGTTTGAATCTGGCTATATATCCAGGATTTGATTTTTTTTTTTTTGACGAAGGGAGTACTAGCTAGCACTGTGTTGTCACACTCGTCACTACTTACAGATCCGGCCAACATTGATGTCCCATCTATGAAAAGGTTACAGGTCACCGAGGCCATCATCTCTTATGGGTGCAAATATAGTCCATTTAGAATGTGGATATGAAATATGACATGCCGTAAATGTGATGTCATCCATAATGAGTTATGGTTGTGACACGTTAAAGACTATTTTGTAATGTTTGTTTTGATTTCGATGATGAGTGAAGTTTCAAGTTCTGTTACAAGGTATAAGGTGCGGTTTTATTTTGTTGACAAATGTATGCACTTGCACCTATATAAATATGGAATTGCATATTTTAGTAGGGAAGGTCTATATACAATTCGACTGAAATAAAAACCTCCATCGTTCTTATAGTTGTTAGTAGGCTGGTGTGAGAGTGTTGTTGGTGGAGTTGTTGTGGTAGTCATGATTTCGCTTAGTTGTTCTAATTAATTATGTACTATAAGGTTTGGTCTTGTTTCTTCTTAAAATGGGACACATTTCTTCCTTTATATAAAACGTCAGCAAATGTCTAACCGTTCAAAAAAAATGATAGAAACAAAAACCACTAAATCATTTTGAATGTTGTGTCGTCGGATGCGCTTTAAGATTTGTGCATATGGTAAAACCTTCTCCTTTTCTTCACCCTCCCCCTTCTTTAGGTTGAGAGGAGAAAAGATAAAATTTTAAAAATATATGTTCTTTTTAATTTGAAGGTAGAGAGGAGAAAACCTGTTTTTTCAATTTTATTTTTTCCCCATGTGATTGACATTGGATCCCACTGATATGTAGACGCCAACGCGGCATACCACATCAGTTCACATAGCGTATTAGAGCTCATTTGGACAAGTTCGAGGATCCGAAAATACATTTTGAGAGTTCAGCGAGTGGATTGAAACCGTTTAGACAAGTTTAGAGACCCAAAAATACATTTTGAAAGCCACCATTGCATGCCACATCAGTACGTGGAGCGGATTAGAGCCCATTTAATTTGGATATATTTTAATTTGGATTGATCAATTTGTTCGACCACAATATATATATATATATATATATATATATATATATATATATATATATATATATATATATATATATATATATATATGATACTCATATGGGGCACCATGGTATTAAATACATAAATTCACTCAAATTTTTCAAAATTTTTAAATTGTGAGTATATACCTAGTTATAAGAATTCGATTCATATCTATACCTATCAACAAAGCAACTCAAATTTAGCTTTATTTCACAATCCATAATTGCATACCTAACTAATTATATGTTTTATATGTTTGGATGCTATATACCTAGAATCAAAATCTAACAAAAACAAGTTCAAATTTAGTTCAAACTTGCTTTGAACTAGTTAGTAAAGTAGTTAATGTTAATACCCAAACATTTATAAAAGTTTCATACCCATTTAAATTGAGTATATACTCAATTTTAATCATGGTGCCCGGGCACCATGGAGCAGCAAACAAATTTAATATATATATATATATATATATATATATATATATATATATATATATAACACATTACGCTTTTGTACTTGCTTCAAACAAAAAGTTTAAACTTGGTATCGATCGGTAAAAGTTGGTCAAGCGCTATATCCTGTTTGCAAGCTGCTGCCTAGCTGCTTCGCTGCCTCTGGCTTGCTGGCCTGCTACTGCTGCATGCATGCGGCTGATTGATCTGCTAGTTAGCTGCCACTGCTGGCCAAGCACACGCATGGGCCAACGGCCCAAAGCCAGTTTGCTGCTGCTTACTGAGCCCAAAGCAAATCAAAGGCAGCCACTAGCTAGCTTTTTTTTTTACTTCCTCCATCCAAAAATAAGTTAATCAAGTACGGAATGTAGCATTTATCCTTAGTGCTCGTCATAGATTAACTTATTTTAACAAAAGGAGTAATTATTTTGGGCGTCGCTGTTCGGGCACTTCACTCTAGAAGGAAAAAAAATAGCATCATCCCCTCCAAAACCCCAACTGCAGTTGAGGTGATGATAAGTATTCTCGCTAGATCCTTCACACCACGTATACTCTTAACACCATTCACAATGCGTCTATATGGCATACGTCCCAAACCAGCCTCGTAGAAGATTCCCCACATATGCAAGTTCCATGCACACACAAAGTGTTGGTGCTAATTATCTTGCTAAGTGCGAACCATGACTGGGTTGGCGAGCCACTCTGGATGGAGAACTTCTCTGATGAAGCCAGCTTTGAGAAGTCTGTCAAGCTCTTCTCTTATAGCTTGTTTCCGATCAGGTGTTAATCTCCGCAGTTTTTGCTTAACTGGCTTGGCGTCGGGTCGCACCATGAGTTTGTACTCAATCATCTCCCTGGGGACCCCCGGCATGTCGGACGGTTGCCAAGCAAACACGTCTGCATTGTCGCGGAGGAAGGTGATGAGCTCGATTTCCTATTTGCTGGTCAGTGTCGCCCCGATCTTGACAGTCTTGTCGGGGTTAGTGCTGGTCAGCGGGACGATTTTGATCGCCCCGTCGGGTCTTGACGTCTTGTTGGGCTTGCTCACTTTCGTAGGTGGCACAGCTGTGGTGGGTAGGTTGGGAGTTTGCTCGACCATGTCAAGGCTCCGCTTGTCGCATTGTGCTGCTAGCTTTGCATTTCTTTGAATAGTGATTTTCCCTTTTGGTCCTAGCATCTTGAGCAATTGATACGCGTAGTGGGATGCCGCCATGAACTTCGTGAGCGCAGTCCTTCCTAAGATGGCGTTGTACGCCGTGTCGAACTCGGCGACATCGAAGGTGACCTGCTATGTTTGGAAGTTATCGGCCTGTCCGAAAGTGACAGGTAGCGTGATTTTGCCCAGTGGCTTGGACGATGATTCTGGAGTGATCCCGTGGAAAGGTTGACCTGATAGTGTGTCACGCCCAGAAATTTAGCCCAAATTTCCATACTATTTTGTGTATTAAATCCCTATCCAGGACCAGCCAGGGTACACAAAACGACAAGTAATATACAGTTCCAAACGTAAATAAAGCGTAAAATACTTACAGAAGAGGCTCTTAGTCCTCGCACCGAAAAGAAACGACAGCAGCGGAAAAAGGTGATCCTAACGGGGCTTCAGCTCCACTCCACAGGCAAAACTCAACTGGGGTCTGAGCCTTGGTCTTCTAACTTCATCTTCAGCTCAGAAGCACTACACTTCTGAAAAGGGGGAAATAATAGCAAGGCTGAGTACAACCACCGTACTCAGCAAGCCACACCAATGATGCAGACGTGCAAGGGGATACAAGGACGGTTTGTGGCTATTTGCATAAAGGCGGTTGTAAAACATTTTATTGAGCAAAACAGTAAAACTGTTGAGTAATTAAAGTAATATTAAATCTCCACTGATTAACGCTACACTACGTTACACAGGCCCAACCAACCCACCTGAACTACAGTGCATTGGGTCGATTTATTAGGATGGGACTAATCACGGTGAATCAGGTCGACCGCCCATAACCGTGGGCATGGCTATTCGAATAGTTTTACTCTGATCAGAGGTGTACAACTGTACCCACAAGACACAGCCCCACGACACGTTTCCGTGCGCCGACATGCCACCACGACATACCGGAAAGAGGCCGTGACAAGACCTTTCGCATAACCCCATCTAACCAAGCACACCACACCTCAGGTTTCACCTCCACTCCTCGCAAGGCAGCGAGCAGTCCCCTCTCGTGCCTAGGTGAATCCGGAAGCTGCATAGGCCGTCGCAGGGCCTATCCAAACTCCATCACGCCCACCCTTGCCTGGATGCGTCAGCTAGAGGAAAGCTACACTACAAGCTCAGCCGTTGCCCACGCTGGCTTGTGGTAAGTACGATAAGTTCTTCCAGGGCATCCCGCGAACCGGTCCTTAATTGCCATGGGTGCGACTAGCAAAACCATGCACCCACAGCCCACCATTCAGTCGCATTTTAGTTGGATAATTACGGCCATGAAGCATGGCCAGATGTCTCGAGCACGCAGCCCATTCTGATACTAAAAAGGTCTAATACTGCAATTATCCCATCAACTGAGCTAGTGGTAATTAAGCATGGCTAAGCATATAGTTCTAGCTAGGTCACATAAGTAACATGAGCTAGTCGATTTATTACCCAAGGTTGACAAAGAACAGATATCAAGTAAACATGGCACAAGTGAGCAGATAGGTAATATCCAGATCCCATGTAATTAGCAAAACATGCATATTTATTTGCAAACGGTAAAACATTTATAAATTGGGATAAACATGCTCAAGGGGAATGTGTGACTTGCCTTGCTTCTTCAAAACAATCTTCCGAACTCTTTTCCTCGTGACCGCGGACTTCCGAAACGACGGATTCTACACGCTGGCACGCAAAACGAGGAAAAACACTAATAAAAACCAAGAAAACAGTACATAAAAAGTAAACAAACTTGTAGAGCTTAATTTTAGATGAATTTTGCAAGTTGAACGGCCCAATTTGGAGTTCGAATGAATTAGATATGAATTTTAGAAGTTTTGAGCCATTTTAATGGATTTATACAATTATTACCGATTTATGACGCAATTAATAATTATTTTCTCAAAGGAAAAGGCATTCGCTGACGTCAGCAAGGGGCGCCGGCGCCGACAGGCGGGCCGAACGCGTCAGCGGGTCAAGGAGGCAGGCACACGGTGGACACGGCCCACCGTGGCCGAGGCGGCACCGTGGACCGAGACCACGGGTGGTCCACGGGCAGCACCCAAAAGTTGGCAACGGAGGGAGGGGGCTGGCTCGCCGGCCGACCCGACCAGGCGGCGGCGGCTCCCGGCCGGACACTCGCCGCTGATGGCGGCACGTCGTGGCGCCGGACACGGGAGGCAGAGGGGAAAAGGAAAGGAGGAGGGAGGCCTCACCGTGCGCCGGGTGGCGAGGGGCGACGAGTGCGGCGGCGAGCTCCTCGGGACGACGGCGGGAC